TGCTGTTGTCACCATGGGACTGAGCACAAAAACCAGCAGATCACAAAATACTTTGCTCAGTCATGGAAACATCAGATGAGCACAAGAAACCTGAATTCAGATGTTCAGCAGCATTAAAGAAACAAAAAGTGTTTCAGAAGCCTGTTAGGAGCCAAGGGAGCAAAGGTATTGATCCCAGTCTAGGTGAAAATGATAGAGCTGACAGTAAGTAAACAGGTGGGAAAAACACTTTTCAGCCAGTATTCCTCTTCTCTATTTGGCAAAGCAGACTGTGCAGATGCATCACAGGTGATGGTGAAATCCTTCTTGAGTCAGCAGTAACTCAGAAAGCTGTTTGAGAGCAATTGCAGAGTAAACATAAAATCACCAGATCTAAACAACTAGCATTCAAATTTTTTGAAAGATCCGGCCAAGAAAACAATTAAGCTGTTCAGCCCAATTTTCAGTAAATCTAAGAAAAGTCAGGTACTGCAGTACCACTTACGGGCTAAACCAACAGAATACAAGGTAATCAGTCAGTAAGAATTAAGACAGCGTTATGCAATTAGCATCACTATATAACAATAGAAATCTTGATAAAATAATGCTACATATCTGCTCATGATCAAGTGAGATTTCAAAAAATTTGCTATTTCTTGCTAAGCAGCTGGATAATGCACAAGATTTTGTTTCAACGTACTTAAAGGTGGGTCCTATTTACAGGACCATGAGTGCTACTGTACTCATGGGCGAGTACAGACAGAAAACAACATGGGGATCACTTTGGTTTGCAAGTACAGCATGAAGTCAGGATGGAAATGAATATATTTGCATTGAGGAACAGTGAATCTTCCAATGGACAAACAAGGGAAAAAAATGGAAAAATTATGCTGAAAAGTGTTTAGAGAACAGCCCTTTGCTCTTTAATGGTGGCTAAGATTATTCATTGAATTTGGCAAATATTTTTTAAAGAAGCTGAAATTGGAGTGGGAAGGACAAGAAAAATTCACCAAAGTCAAAATGTCATGCATTGATATTTTCAAAATGGAAATGTTTTCTTCTGAGCTAACACTTTTGTTTCAAAAGTGAGCTATGGTTAAAAGCATTAGCTAGTAGGAAAGTGAAATAAAACATTGCCTTTTGGATCAAATTAAACGTTTCAGTTAATCCAAAACAATTTTCCTCCCAATTTTTCAGTTTCTACTGAAAAGGAAAATCCTGTATTTGAAAAATTGCCACAGACGAACTACAACAAAAATGCTAGGGAATACACTTGAAGAAAGCCCTGAAGAAGAAAAAAAAAAAAAAAGAATAACTTCTGCCAGGTCCATGAAATGGTTTAAAGTATGAGAAAGCACTCAATAAGGAAGGACTCCATGTCCTTTTAGATATGTCAAAGAAAACTGACGAGCAAACTTATTGCAGCCTGTATGGACTATATATATAAAGTCTAGCCAACAAGTATAACAAAATCGAACCTCTGGAATTTGAAGCTATACAAGTTTTGACCACAATTACAGCTTATACTGTTCAGAGTGGAGTTAACTTTTGGAGTAACTTACAAACATTGTGTTCAATTGCCTACCATCAGGAACTTTTAATATCACAATTCAACACTTTTTTTTCCCCAAAAATTAACCTTTACTAATGAAACCAAATTGTTGATGAAGGTGTGTTTACGGCAAGTGGCAAGACTTTGACCTATTTTAAGTCAGACACATGCTCCTTTACACCAGTGTGGTCATTTGTGGAGCAGCCTCCCTCAAGGAGAAACAGCAGCTCCCCAAAACACAACTCCTGCCTGAAGCAAGGGGTCTGCAAAGGAAGTTTTACCTAATGAGAGACAGCATGACATCAATGCCCTTCTCCCCAGAGAGGACATTTATGCAGCAGCCTGCAGGCAAACACACTGGAAGAGCAGAGCAGATCAAAGCACAATGCTGTTGCTTAAGGGAAGTCACTGGTAGGACTAGACATTGCTGATGAAATACAAAAACATAGGGAAAAAAAAAAAGTTGCTATTTCTACCTGCACCACCCTGTTCTGTAGGTGAAGATGACGCGAATCCAAGGTTCTGAGGTTCAATCCCAACCTGGCAGCTGCATTTCTTGTGGCACCTGCAGGGTAGTGCCCAGGCACACGCACACACGTGCACTGTGGGCGCTCCTCTGGGCAGCTGCTATGCCCCCCAGTGAAAGTCAGGATGCATGATGCCTGGTCCTACAGCTACTCAAGCCAGGAGGGGACTAGGCTCAGACCACGCTGTGCTTTGTAAGGACCATCACAACAGCTGTATGCATTGTTTCCTATACACCTGAGCCAAAATTCAAGCTTACAAGTACATACTGCTTTCAGAAAAAGCCATGAGACTATGGATCAGACTTTCTTGCCTTGCATAAACCAGTGCAGATGAAACAAATGTGGATTTAAAGCAACCAACAGCCTGGCCACTTGTATTTCTGAGGTATCACTAAGTTTAAGAGAAGTTGGATGTAACAAAACCCTTGATCCCAAATGTCCCAAATTTAAGGGAAGCTTTAAGCCAAACGTGTACTTTACAGCTAATCCCTGTCATCTTATAAGGTCAAACCAAAAGCTTGGCATCAATTGCCCTGCTCCACCTCTAACAGAGCACAAAACTGAGGACTTTTTCTACAAGAAATGCTAATGCAATACAGAGGGTGTGATTTTAATTACACTGTCCTTAAAGAGATGAAAAATTTATCAACTCCCAAGGATATGTTTATTTGACCACATTTTCAGACCATTGCCAGTACACTAAGCTCTCCCCTAGCTTGAAAATCCAGGAATATTAAATGCAATAATCATGTTACAGTTTGAAACTAAGTGCAAAAGAGTCAGGAAATTCCAAAATTAAGTTATCTACCACAACCATAACTCAACCCTAGTAGTTAGCCTTATTTTATCACTCAACTCTATATGCAGTTTTAGATTTATGATATAAAATGTGGCCAGGCCATAGTATTGGTGGATATTTTTGTTAAGAAAAATCTTGGGTTTTGTATATTTCTAATCTCACTCTTAACATTGCATTAATGTGTTTGCACTTAACAGTATTATGCTTCAGAGTTTCCTCCCAGCATAACCTGGGCCAGAAATAATTCACAAGCATTGCCAAAGGCCAGGACAGCACTAACGCAGCTGACAGGACGCTGCTTCTCCAACCAGTTCAAGGTATTCGAGCTCCATCGTGTGGAACGTGCCTGCACATACAATACGCATGCTATCTGGCTTCTTAATCAATTTCTTAGCAAAAAAAATATAAATAAATAAATAAATAAATAAATAAATAAATCCCCAAATGTACTATAAATTAAAAAAAAAGCCTCCTTTGACAGAAAGGAAAACTCAGATTGTTCCTTGTTGAGAAGCAAAGTCTAAGCCTCACAACAAGGCTGAGTTTGCTGGAGGCCTTGGGAAACAATATTGAAGTGTTGCAGCTCGTCACAGTGAACCTCCCAGCAATGCCGCATTTTAACAAGAATCAAGACCAGCTGTCACTGCAGGGCATATAATCAGACTCACTTCACACTAGCATTTGCTGCATTGGTCATGGAATTGCTGTTAAATTAATAACTCATCCATGCACAGGACTACTTCTGTTCTGTAACCGTTTCCATTCTACCAGCATTTGGGCATTGAAACGCACACCCTGATGCTTTTTGTATGCAGCAGACACACCATGTGGCCTCTTCTGAGATTGTGTCATTCTGCAACTTGGATTAAAGGAGTGAGAAATTTTCACATTTGAATTCTGTTTAATACCCCATTTCTCACACACTTTAAGGATGCCGGCTCCACAACAGCAACCTCTTTGCGTATCATCTAGCTTGGAGGAGCCCTTTTCTTGCCTGGGATGTCCTAAAAAAAATGCCATGTTTGAAGCAAAAGGTCTTAAGATAGGCAAGGGCTTCTGAGGCAAAGACATGGATGACCACTGGTGTCCATTAACAGACTTGTGAAAGGAAGCATATCTTGTCATGAAAATATATACACATTTACATTTATAGAATGTATAAATATACAGATGTTTTCAATTTTTATTTTGATGAAAAATGATATTAAGGATTCCTGCAGGCCTGTGAAACATCCATAGTTAGGAGAAAGCACAGATGCTCTGGTGGAGTGGGCAAGGAGGACACCAAGGGGAGATTTCTGGCACCAGGTGACTGTTCAGCCAAGCAAAAAGTATCCACAGCTTGCAAATTCAAGCCAGAAAGAGGCAGCTTTTATTTATTTATTTATTTTAATTGCCATTTCTGTTTAAAAACTAATAATTTATTTTTTTTTAAAAAGGTGATTTTTCTACCACTTTATTCCCAAAACAAGACCAAATGACTTTCCTAAAAAGGTGCTGCCAAAGTGGTACAAAAACAACCTGCCAGCAGTTGCAGGGCTAACATAATGCAGTCATACTAGTTAAATACTGTAGTCTTTCGTAGCCCTAAAAAGCTAGGGATGCATTTTTATTACAGAGGATCACAAAAATATTTCTGCTGGTTCTCCAGAAAGACACAATCTTTAACAGAAGACAGTTACAACAGACAGAGGGCTGAAGAGAGGAATCCTGGAGCCATCACACAGCTCCAGCTCACCCACAGAGGGACATCAGATGTTCTCCTTGGCCTCTTCCAGTTGGGTCACACAACCTGCTGCACTTTGCGTCACCCATGTCCAGTTCTCCACATTAATCTGTATTTGTTGTGACATGGACTAAAGCTAATAGTAATTCTTTCCCCTCCATTTTCACCCTTGAGAATTAAGTACTACTATTCTGATGTGTCAGACTGCAACCACTGTTGAAGATGTTTGGGCAAAGCCTGTGTATGCCTTAAGTCTGGGATCCAGATCAAAGCCACCTCCTGTTCTGATGTCCTGGGCATCTACCTTTTCCATCTGAAGACACAGAAACAAGTGCCCACCTGCTCCCTTCCCACCATTTTTTTTGTTTGTTTGTTTATTCAGAGATAAGAGGACTGCAGGGATGCTGCACGGTTTACCTTTAGCAGTAGCCATCTCTCCATCAGGGTGAGCCATACGCTGCATAGCAGTTGCTCCAACACAGATGGGCATGCTGATTTTCTGCCCTAAGACTGAAGTTGACAGGTCCATTACAGACACATCCCTGAGCACCCGGGGGTACAGCTTCCACCTGACAAATAAATAGAATAAAATACCTGCATCACTGGAATTATAGTTCCTAACGTCCAAGAGCAGATTTTCCTGTTGTCAAGAGAAAACTGGTGAAAAATGGAGGGGAGGATGCTGCAACAAGGCTCTAGGGAGGAGATTGCTAGAGCAGAACATTGTGCGACCTGGAGCTGTAGAGAACACGTACAAAGCAAGGAACAAGCAGGCAAGAAAGGACCAAAATCAATGGAGAGCGAAAGAGGCAAAGATCCTTTGAAAACAGTTGGCTGGTATCATTTGAAAGAAAAGATGGGAGCTGCAAAAGAACATTTAGTGAATCCCTGCTTCCCAGAAAACCTTGGGACAGAGCTGGATGACGGAAGGTGTGCAGGAACAGAAGAAATTAGTCACCCTCTCAGCTCCCTTGGTTGCTTGTTTGATGGGCCAGGGAGCCAAAGGATACAGGATTTTTGTATAAAATGAGCCTGGCTAGCATTCTCACCCCTTCTTGTCCCTGTGCTCTGGGTCTCTGCATTGAGAAAAATGAGCTGCCACACTTCTTCCAGTGGAAAACAGGTGAGCAGGATCACTGCCTTGGCTTTTCTCAGGTCAGAGGGGCATGGACATTCACTGCATTATATCTTTGCTGACACCTTTTGAGAGCCGCTAGGCCAGGAGAAGCCCCAACCCCAGCAGACACAGGCTGCTGTGCATCACATGCTTAGCTGAAAAGTGACTGCAGCCCCAGGAGCAGCCCGTCATACCACAAAGACTTGAGATTTCCAGGAAAAGACCAAACACAGCCACTGTAATTTGGTACAGGAAAAGATCAAGTAGCACAATTACTTTCCCAAGAGACTAAATTACAATCTAGTCCTTGAATGACTTGGCCCTGAATCTGCTCAGCTGTTCCTGACCTTGCTTTGCTTCCAATGCCTCCACCAGAAACCACACCAACCCAGGGTTTCATTCTCCTTGAGCTTGGGTACAAGTGGAAGCTGACTCCAAAAGAGAACTAAAACGCCCACAACACACCTGAAGATGCAATCAGGCTGGACATCACAGGTTTGGACACAAAAATTTATCTCCTCCTTCCCGCTCCCAAATGAGGGCACAACAAGCCAAGGAACCCTGTCACAGGGTCAACTAGACAGCACTGGCAGTATCCAAACCTATCTTAATGTGGCTGGATTCATGGGGGTACATGTGAAAGTGGGCTTTTTCTCATCAACCACGCAATGTCATGGTGCAGCCGCTGTTAGCACAAGCCACAAGAGGGTGTGCATCAGCAGGTGCTGGCTCTCAGGGGTGTGCTCTGAGCAAGGTCCCAACGTTCTCTGCAAGCAGTAATAGGCTCTGCATCAATGTCTTACTAATGCATCCTTCCCTCTGAAAGACCGCACTTTTAGATGATTGCTATTGAATTTTTAATTAAAGAAAATAATTAAAAGCTTAATCTCTAGTACTGCCGAACCTGACTACCTGCTCAGCACTAGAATGCCTGAGGGAGATGGATACTGTTATTATTAGCATGAAGAGAGCAACCAGAGCCAGTTATCTTCAGACCGTGCTCTGACTCTGAGTAGCGGTCAGCTTGAGCTTGCATACTAAGCTGCAGGTTGGGGGTGGTTGGGAAGGAAGGAAGGAAGAAAAGAAACAAAAAAGTCTTTTCATTTTATAGGAAGATCAATTTTCATTTCTATACGAAGCCTGAGACACAGCCAGGATGAGACCCAAATTTCTTATGCTGTAGAGCACCGGGCCATGCTCATTCTCCAGAATGTGCTCCCCAGGGAGGAGAAGGACGGTTATGATGCTTGGAAGAAGAGATGCAGTTGTGGGAGTCAGCTGTATTATTCGATGCCAAGACACACACTGGAAGTATGTCTCCTCGGACTTGTTTTCATGCTTCTGTGTCAGATTGTTATTTTTTAGGGGAGGACAGGCTGAGGGTGGGACAAAGAAAACATGACTTTTTTCCCCCTTCTTCCTAATCTTCATTCCAAAGGCTTTCTCCCAGCTTCAAGGCATCTTTTCCCAGCAAATACAAATTCATTAATGATCTTGCTCAAGTTTACAGACTAACTCAAAAGCATAAGGATGTGAAATAACTTACCCTTTTCCAGCCACCTAGTTCTCAGCTGTCCCTGACCTGTAGGATTTTTTTTACATGGTGCAAGCAAAGCACACATTTGAGCGTCAGTCCTGAAGAACCAAATCTCTTTAGTTCTTTTAGCTCAGAAAAGAAGCAGAAAGAGCAAAGATCCCCTATCTCCCCCCAGTAGAGTATACAAGAGAAATGACACTGTTATAAGGAGCAATAAATGCTTTCCTTCCCACTCACCTTTATGTACCATCAAATAACTCTGTCCACAAGCTTTTTGGGGCCATCAGATTTATTAGCCCCAGAATTTAAACAAATATTTCTCCTGATTGATTTTGTGGCTTCTTCTTTCCTTGCATCTTATTAGGTCACACGCTTTAGACCAGCATCAAATCAACACTCATAACTGAGCACTTCCTGGGTCCCACAAACACCACCAAAGGGATCATTATCTTACTAATATGCTCTTTACAAAAGCAGCAACAGGTTTTATCAAACATGGATTTTTTTTCAGCTGTGCCTTTACCAAACAACTGAAATTAGGTATTTTCTGGACAATCCGTAGGGATATACCCTTAACAGCAGTAAGGATAAACCAAGAGCATTATTTCCCAGTAACCAGAGCACACTTTTGTTAGACTGCCACACAAGACATGCTTCCTCCAATTCGTTGAGCAAAAGCATTTGCAAGGTATTTTGTAAAGACCTTGTACATTTGTTATTTATCTTGTCACCCACACCTTTTTAAACAAGGCCCACACTTGCATGTTATAATCACTAATTACAAGTTGCTGCATCTTTCTTACCAGCTGGTGGCTGGAAAGTGCTGCACTGGGGAAGGTAGTGAGCTCTCCCAATTCAGACAACTTCAGCTGAAAGCTGTTTTGAAAGAAGGATGAAAGTGAAGGGGGATTAATGGGCTTTCCCTTTTCCTTCCCTGTTCAGAAATTTCAAAATGTAAATTATTCTTCAATTGAGTAAGATAAAGAGGAGAGCACTCATTTTTCAGACCCTTTTTCAGCTTTGAAAAACTGCTGAAATTTTCAAAATCTAGCACATTTTTCAAGCAGCTGTTCTCATTTCTCTTCTGAATTCATACTAAATAATCCCTTCACACTGCATCGCTAGCAGTGTGCTTGGGAAAGGACACAGTGTTCAGGCAAAGGCCCCATCCCAGCTCCAACCCTCTTTGATAACCTTAATCTCCCCTACTGCCTCTACTTCCCATCACAAGGGGCACGTACCATGGCTGCACAAGGCCAAGCAACAGCTGCTTTTGCTCGTGGAAAATACATTTTCTCTACCAGGATGTCTCACCATCCACACAACAATTCTTTTCAGAGCACGCTAAATCTGAGGTGAAAGACGCTGCAGAAAGATAACCAACCTGTTATTACAAGCATTCCTTTCTTTTCCCCTCCCTGCAACTTGACATGTTTGTTTGACCCCAATCACATTCTCAGCCTTAATTTAAATATTGGTCAAAAAAAGCATGTGCCCAATCATTTTAATGCCCTTAATACCTAGCTACAAGATGATGGTACATTTACAGAAAATATACATCAGTGCTGTCACTGATAAACAAGCTCCTGGTACATGACAACAAAATGCAGCATCTTCAAACGCCACTGGGAAGTCAGTGGCAAAACATGTCACAGCAGATTATCAGAAATGTATTCCTAAACACACATACTTCTACCCACATTAAAATGCGGAAAGAGGTGATTTTAGATTGATTTCTTGAGTGCCATCAAGCCAAAGGCACCCAACCAAGCCTTGCCTTGTCATAAAATCTATTCTTTATTCAGGCCTGTTGCTTTCTTGACAACTTGAGTGTGAATTTAATCACCAGACAGCACAGTGTTGGAAGGACATTCAGTGTTTCCAGACACAGAACAAATGCAAGGTGAATAAAGTCAGATGCCATAGGGAATAATGGATGCTCTGACACCTTAAATGATTGTCTCTGGCCTTAATGCCTCACTTATGCAAGTACCATTTCCACTTCATTTAGAAACTGAATAAAGAATTATCTGGCCTTAGCAGGAAAATGCTGATGTTGAAATGCAAGCACCAGTTCATCAGTCCAACATCAAATCTCAGATAAACTGGAAGCTAGAGCAGAATGACTGTACCTAGCGTTGACTTCATCTGAAACCTTGGTCTTCTGGGGGCATTTTATGCTCCAGTATCTAATTACAAGTCCAAACTACTTTAAGTTCATGTGTTGTCAAGAGGCCAGGACATGTGATTTTATCAAATGGATATGAATCGTGCTGTTCCAAAAATTGCATAGACCGTTCCAAAGGTATTGCATTATTTATCAACAGCCATTCATTTGCTAGATCTCTCCTTAATAATAATCTATTTCCATTGTAAATGCAACCACTAAGTTGCCAAAAACATTAAGAGCTCACAAACTTGACTGATTTTTTATTCCAGATAGAAAGTGTCCTATCATTCTGTCTCACCTTAACAATCTTGCACCATGCATTACAAAAATACTAGCTAAGAATTCATGCTTTTGGTCCAATTTCATGCTTTTTTCTTTTCCATTTGAATACAAATATTTATATAGATAACAATAAATATTTAAATACCGTAAACATCTTTAAACAGACCGAACCCTGTGTCCTGAAATGGTATTTACTAAACTTTTGACAGTAGAAATCAAAATGAGATTTCTCTGGTCAGTGGAAGCAAAGCTCTTTGTACTTCTTTCACAAAGTCATCTGACTCTGTGATCTTTGTGGGTGTAAAGTCCATCTTACTTTATATTTACCTACGATCTGCACTCAGGAGTAGGGAGATAACCAATAACATGTTTAAGACAAAGACTATGCAACTCAGGGACTGAATCCAGAGTGAGTAGCAGCCCTGCATCCATAATGGTTAGATCATGCTTCTCTCACAGAAGCATCATATTAAAAACAAAGGTTTTTGAAGTTGCTCATGCTGAAATTAGTCTTAAAAACTAGATAACCTTGGGTCTATACAGAGAGAGAGGGGAAGTGAAGGGAAGGTAACAAGCATAGTTTTGACTTCAATATTTCTGGCCCATGCCATCTCTTTTTGGCTGTTGATAAATTGTTTGATGATTTAATAAAACAAATCCCATTTGTCAGTCATTTGGATTTTATTAACTGCCTTTTGGAAGACATTTAAATGGTCTAGAGCAACTGCTGGAATAGGATCATCTAATACTCAGACAAATTAAGGGAGAGCAAAGACAGAAACACAGCTTCCACCTCCAGAACCACCCCCGCTTGTAACTTTAATGTTGAGGAGGAGGAAGCCAGTACACGGGCATTTCAGTCACACCAAGATCTGGCAAAGTTACACTCCCTCAGGCTGTTCAAGGCACTTCTAATTAATACCACCCTCAGTCACAGCCTCCCTGTGAGCTCTGCAGTTTTTGAATGCCTAAAACTGGAGGCTGAAAATACATTGAAAGATTGCAGGAAAGAGGTGAATCCAACAGGTGACCAGGCTGATGCAAGAAGGCCTGTATGAGAGGAGTCTGCTCCTGCAGTGGGAAACTTCAGAGCAAAGCTGCTCTCATCACTAACATTTAGCCCCACTAATACCAAGATGGCAACTTGACATACTCATTTTTTGTTAGCTGGTTTCCATACAGATTAGATCTATGATTCATGGTGTAACCGTGATTATGACCATGATTAGCTCTAGTAGGCAGTAGTTTAAAAAAAATAAAATACACACACTACCCTTATAGTTTATTACCTCTGATCACTTCTTCTGAACGTGCTATTCTTAACATTTTATTTTGGTTTTATTAGGGTAAATAGCCTTTACAAGGCATCTGGAAACATTCAATGAAGAAGCATTACACCCTTTCTTGCTTCTATTTGCTCCTTGGAGCAGTCATTTCATTTGTGTATGAACACCACCAAGCACAAGAAGATTTCAGTTGATAATGGGGGCTTCTGCATAGAGATGGAAGGTCCGAAATAACCAGTCACAGTGTAGGTTAGTGGTTGTCTTCTGACACTGTAAAGCTTTTCTATGTATGTCCCTAACATTAGAGCTGACTTTTGAAATGCCACCAGATGAATTACCAAGTTTTCTCGAATCTTAAGAAAGTTGCATGAGATTTCCAGTTGAATTGCTCACTGCCTGTGGAAAAGTAACAGGAGCAGTAACTAGGATTGCTGCTCTACAGCATTAATATTCTGCTCTGCCAAAAGCTTTCTGTGTATATCTGTATAAATCACTTAATTCTGGATATACAAGAAGCTACAGGCAACTATTTAGCTACAAATGAGCCTGAATTTAAAAGACTTGTACCTTCAAACCTGTTGATCCATTTTTAACTCCATTTAACTCATTCCAAAATCAGTCCCCTGGTGCTGTGGGTTTCCTTTCAGGCACCCAGCTCCCTCTGAGTGTGCAGGTCCTAACCCAGCAAGCTGCCTAGAAGTTAGCACTGAAACAAATACCTGCCCTTCCTCTAACCCTTAGCTGATATTTCATTTCAAAGGCATAAGGCAAACAATACCTATCACCACTGTAAAGTGATTTGAAGTCCAGCTAGTGGCAGGTGCTGTGAGATGAAGGTACTGTGGTGAATTGAGCCATACCCCATAAGGATGTGAGAATCCAGCCTAGTAAATTTTTCTACAGGCATGGGAACATCCACACCACTTGAGATTAGACTGAGCTCACTCAGTGACTCTTCATTAGTGCCAACTTTAAATTTCTACCCTATTCTGATGTTAAAAGAAAAAAAAAATGCAGAGTGATCCTGACTACTCCTGCAATGCAGCATGTAACATCTGTCCACATTTGACATTTTTGTTTGAGTTCAAGGCAGAAACTATTAGCCATGCTGCCAGGATGGGTAACATTTCTGAAAGAAAATCAAAGTAGGGAGGGAGAAAGATTAAAGATAAATTGGGAAAAATAGTTATGGTTTGTTAGACACAGCAGGATTAAAGACAAAGCCTTAAGAGATTAGCAAAAGAAGAGCGCAGGAGAGTTAGATGTCTGCACCAACAGAGAGTAACAGAAGGAAAGGGAAGTTAACACCTGCATGTTTAAACAGTTTGACTGGGCTCAACCAGGATGAGGTGATCAGCCTGCTGGCCACGTTCTCTCCTTTCTGCTCTGCTAGGGATGATGCTCTGGTAGCAGAGCTGCAGCACAGATTCAGGGAACGGGGAGCCAACATAACACAAAGTGATTTGACAGGAGTTTTGACACTCATCCACTGAATCTGACAGGAAATGTTGCTGCTTTACTCTGTGCTGACCTTGCGCTTCTGGGACAAAGGGTTGAGTGATTTGAGGTATTGACGACAGGAGCCCAGAGCTATGGTCTGCAAGTCAAAACTGGTTTACAATAGTACCTATCATTTACAATACTTCATGGTGAAGTGCTGACCTTTTGTTGGAAATCTGAACAGTCACACAGCAGCCACACAGTGCTGAGCACTGGCTTTCAGAGCTTTCTCCAGAGCACACCGCTAGGGTAGGAAGCTGCAATTTAGCAGCGTTGCACAGACTTACCAGGGAAGGCCACAAAAATAACTCAGTTTAGGAGGTACAGTTGTGTTAAAACTGACTCAGGACCTAAAAAGTACAATAATACAAGAATGTGTTCCCTGTATAATAGCTTAAAATGTAGAAGCTACACTTCCATCAGCTTATGAAATGTTGGTTACAACTGGAAAGTTTGTTTCCTGAAATAAAAGACACAAAATGCAGGTAAAGTTAGATCATGCTAGTGCATTTTTAGGACTGCTTTTTGATAGAAAATGTAAGGTAAAGGAAAAAAAAGGAGAGAGACAGATGTTCTGAGAAGGAATTCTTTGAGTCAAAAAATAAAGAAGTTTCAGAAAAAGTAAGTTTTGTTGACACAAAAAGAATATTACACTACATCTCCTAATAACATAACTTACGCACTCTACAACCTTAAATTATCCTCCTACCTTGAGAATGCTGCCACGTTATCTGCTAACGTCTCCTCGTCATCTGCTCCAGATCGGTAATAATCATACACTGATTTGGGGAGAAATTTTTTAGCATAATCTTCAAAATCCGAAATACAAACTGGCTTTCCAGACATGCTTGCAGATCTCACAGGATAACTCTTTAATCCTACTTTCCACTTTTAAACTCTGTATTTCTGTCTGTAAATCATTAATGTGGGATCTCATCAAGATTTGACTTGCTTATCAATGCACAAAAAAAATTTACACCAACTTCTTGTGTCATATTGGACTTCAGCACCACATTTTATTTCATGTGGTGGAGGTGAACCTAGGACATAATAGAAAAAAGACTTAAAACTCCAGTAACAGGCAGGTACCATCTCTTATGTATACCTATCGTGTAAAATGTCCAGGTGACTGAAAAAAAGATAGCATTTATGTTCAAAAAGCAAAATTCTGACTCAGTTTATTTATAAAAGCTGGTCCAAGCCTGAACTGGCATTTAGAACAACAGTTAACACAAGCATGTTTCCAGTTATTTCCATTAAAACTCTGGATTTCTAGCCATGTTGCATAAACACAGCTGTCAACCAGCTAGGACATTTAATATATCCTCAGGCAAGTAATTCCTGGTTTTTGTTTTGTTTTGTTTTCTCCTGGTAATTCCACCTCTACAACCCAGAGAACTCTATTCTTAGAATGTTACCAAATCATGTGCAGTCATCAGCTTCAAAGTTAGCTTACCTGAGATGATACTCATCCAAAATGTAACATTAAGATTTCTTGATTTAATTTTGATTTAGGATTTAACAAATACTACATATACTTCGTTCGCAACAGGTATATAGCATTTGTTTGATAGGGAAAACCTGCAGTTATACGTGTATGTAAAACTCAGTTTTCCTGCTGTGCACACTTGAATTATTAACAATGATTTTTAAAAATAAAAAACATGTTTTGGGGAGAATACAGAAATTGATCCCTTTATTGGCAATATTCTCTAAAGCATAGTATAAAACATGGTAGAACTTTTCAACAAGCACATGAATGAAGCAGTGTGCACTGTGGTCACCAAAGCCCAGCACACACACCTCTGTTTCTGTCTTCAGTGCAAGCAAGCCAGAGAACCTGTTGTTTGCTCACTGTCAGTTATTTGTGAGGAATCAACATGAAGAAATGCAATGCAGTAGAAGTACATATGTGCCTTAAAGTCACAACATTTTGGAGGAGGTAAGTTATTTGGTGTTATCTGAATTCTTCAGTCTTGATGAAGAAATAAAGTTAAACATAGATATACCTCTGTTAAAACTACAGCCATCGTCCTTGTTGTTGATTTATAAATAACAGCTAGGAACACAATATTCTGCAAAGAGTGAGAAAAGTGCTTAAGATTCAAAGGAGATTGTCAAGCATCTGTGGAGGAGTGCTTCAGGGAGTGAAGCAGGAAGGATGGTGCCAACTGTAAGGTCAGTTTCAGAAGTCATGTTAAGAGAACGATGGCACTGAAGAGATTTTCAGCTATTTCTAGCTGCTTTCCCAGATGAGGACATCTTAGCTTAAAACATATGGGGCCCCTTAGGGTGTTCATTTTTATAGCTGGTCAGAATATTCATGGAAGGAATTACTGGAAATGATTATCAATATACAATTACACCATCGGGCATTTATAATTGCATATAATCTAAATGCAAACTGGCTTACATTGACATTTCTCTGTGCTCCCAGCACAAAACAGGGGATATGTCTGCTTACATTTATTCAGTTTGCATCACATATGCTCTAGGATAAATGGCTGGTTTTAGCATGAGAAAGTAAGCACTGCGTGATAGCTTAACATTTTAATGTGTGCAACTGAATTCAACGTTAATGAAGGCAACATGTTGGAAGTTTGCACAAAGTTGCTAAAGGTAACTACACTGTTTCATTGCTGATCTTTTCCCCTACTTTACATCTATATTCACTTCAAAAAAAAAAAAAAAAAAAAAAGAGTTAAGCTTTTCATAGCACTTCCCACATTAACCTTTCACTCTCCATTTATGTTCATTTATCATATTCACATGATACCAGTCTGTCTTTACTGGTCATTTTTTGCCACTCATACTAGAAGTTCTCTTCCCCTCCCCATCACTAAATTGCTCACATGCAATCAGTTATAAATCCCCCAAGAAAATGCCAAACGTGCCAAAGCACTTCTACTTCTTGTAGAAGCACAACTACTTCTTGTAGCCCAGGCAACATGCCCTGGGAAGTTACAGCCCTCAGAAGCTCACCAGGAGCTGGAGCTGCTCCTACTCCAGACACTCCTGGACACCACTGGCCAGTTTATGAGCTGAGGTATGGAGGAAACTGCTAGTGTCAGCACAAAGGAAGTAAAACTAAGCAAAAAAGTTTAATCTGTTGCTAAGCTACAATTGCGTATCCTCTTCCTGGTAGGATGAGTGCAATCCCTAGGAGGGCACAGCAAATGTCTCCCCAGCACATCTGACAGTGACACACAGACCAGCTCTGACACAGCTTCTTTCCAAGTAATTGGATCCTTATTTTAATGAATCTATCTGGCTGCTCCCTCTCTGGATGAGGGACATCCTGTCTGCTTAACGAGACATCAGCTGTCTTCACTTTAACCTTGGAGCAAAAGGATAGCATCTTATTTAACAGTAAGGAGTTTGCCTGGGTAACCAAGGCAAATCTCATTGGTGTAAGTCAATGTGCAATTGAAATGTTCAGATGTGATTAGGGCAGAGAGGAAAAAGAAGTGCAGCAGTAACAGCCTCTCCCATATCAACTGTTTCTCAGTTGATCCCTGAGCAGGTCACTAGTGAATTACCAATGGAAAACGGCACCACATCAGCGAAGCTCAGCTGTACCAGGCTCTGCAAAGGAACCTCTTGGCACTTAAGTTAAAAAAGGGATATCACAAATTCAGGATGAAAAGCCCACAGAGGGCTGCAAATTATAATGATACAACTTCCAGCTCAGAAAGTGATTCAATCAGAAGCCAAAAAAAAAAGCGTTCTAAGAAATATCAGTACACACTTGTCCTTACATATGTTATTTGCCAGAGAGAGGAAAACTACGTGGAATTTTAGCCTGAATCACCATGTTCCTACTGCAGGATCAGAGAAACATCAGTATCTCTTGTAAAGCAGCAAGAACTCCACAGGTGAGGAATGAGTCAACTAGGATTTTCTCACTTGAGTTAACTGAAGTAAAGATTAACTGGAAAAGTTAACTCCAGTATATAATTAAAATATTTCGATGTCTCAGAGATTACTTAAGTGTTTCTCAAGAGTGCTGTGGAAAGCTGTTTTATCAAGTAACTTTTTACACAGGTAAATAGCTGTGTTTTAACTTCCAAATTCCCCATGGACATTCCTGAAGTTCTGCAAATAAGGTCAGAAAACACACCTTTGTAATTGTGAACCCTGAAGTGAAGCGTTTTCAGTGAGTATCTCACCAATCAGAACTGAACCAATCCATTTTGACCCCTCCAAGTCAGAAGAATCAACAGAAAGTATTTTTCTTCAGCCATCTGACTTCAGCATGAGACTGATCCAAAGACAATGGCTTCGTTGTATAAATGAAGACAGTTTTTTGTCACCCAGGAACAGCAAGTAGGTGGCCCAAACAACCTCCAGGAACGTCTGTTTTGGGAAGTCAGTTGGGAAGTCTGGGGACCACTAGGGTGCAGTGAGGCTGGAGCATCAAGCAGAACAGTTCCCAGGAGGACCCACATGACTGGGTACAAGGAAAACAACGCAGGGGAGATCTACAAGAAGGTTCACAGCATCATTTTTGGCTCCACAGCAATGTGGAAAAGAAAGAGTGAATTGCAGATTACCCCACCCATAGAGCAGTTCTGCTCTGTGCAGAGAGGCAGCCCAGGAAACTCACCTGATAAATCCAACTGCGTACTGGATCCTGTCATTCACATCACCCAGATACGCTGAAGCAACATTTCCTGGTAGTCACAAAACACCACTTCTCCCTCCAGTACACCCAGGCTTGTTTCTTTAGTAGTACCTGCTCACTGAGAACTGTCAGAAGAGGAAAGATTTAGGTCTGTACCTTCCTGACCCCACATAAGGTGGAGAGATGCCACAGATAAGTAGGGAGATGTGCACAGCTGTCCTCCAAGTCCCAGAGAGCGCTAGCACTGTTTGCACGGTTAGACAGTAGATTACTAGCCAAAAAAAAATAACCTGTAGAGGTGACAACCATCAAGGGTTCACAGTTACACTGTTTTGCTCAGCAGTCTCCATTTACCCAGCTGCATTTTATACCTTCAAAAGTTTGCTCAGCCCACAGTTATTATACCAAAGTCTAGATCTAGGTGTGTTCCCAAACATTTTTTGCAGTTGCATACAAAGAAAACTGCTTGACAATATGAAGGTTTGTTTCATAAAGTTCTGACGAATCTTCAGAAGCAAGTCACAAACCATTATTAATCAGAAGATCAGTATTAAAGTTGTTAAACAGATGAGCCATCTATACACTGAAAAAATGAAAACTACAGCAAGATCGTAAATACAAAATTTATATGGATTTTAGTAAAAATACCCATAGTAGAAATCTGCAAAACTTTTATATGAAAGACAATTCTGTGTAACATTTCAATGAAGAAAGCCCACAGAACAAGCGTTGCCCAGCATGGGTGCAGCATACACAGTACACCAGGACTTGCATACATGATTCATTCAAATCTTGAGGACAGCAGTTTTGAAAAGCTGCATTTCTAGCCTCTTTAAAAAGTAACCCATTGGATTTTTTGAGCAACTTAAAGCATTCATATTCAGATCCATCAGGGACTATTTTTCAAAGCGGTACATATCCTATTTGAAATTTAAATTGGTTCTCAAAAATCTTAAGTCATTTTTGACATATATCTCTGGTTTACCAGCCTTACACTTAACAGCTCTACACATTTTGAACAGTGCTCACAGCAGCTTCTCCAAGGACATTTTGTCTGTACTGGGATTGCAAGAACAACTTCCATTTAAAAAAGATTAATCACAACAGAGACAGATGACAAAATGCTCAGCTTGCATAAAAGGTTGATACTGACTTTTTAAAAAGAAACATACTAAATTTAATCTTTTAATATTTTAATTGTAATCATCTAATCTCTACCGTACCTGTATGATTCATTTAAAATGTATTCCAGTGAAAAACAACTGATT